ACAGTCTGATGACTATTAATGACAACACATTAAAATTACTGACAGAGAATATGTTACTAACTCTTGAAAGCTTAAGCTATTGTCAGCAGTTCAAACCTTCTTAAAATAAAATATAAAATATCCCAATAAGTTAAACATTTAAATTAAAATTTTATTACCAAAAATAATTCTAGATGATTTGGGTTATAAAGGTAACACCTGGTCAATAAAAGTTATTCTGTTTACTCACGGAGCTTGAGTACGGGTTGTATATTCTTTGAATTCACTATCATGAATAGTGAAATAAGGTCGGAAATCACTGAAGTACTTTAATGGAGAAATGCAGCTGTGGAGCAGAAAGAATATGTAAGTCAAAGGACATAGAAATTAAAGGCCCTACTCTTTAACCGTGAACCATCAATACAAACAGTAGATAAGCAGTGGGAGAATGTATTTACTTCAAAAAATGAAAAACTCCTTCTAGGGAACTAAAAAAACAAATGGAAATAAGCAATGTGCAAGGGTATACAGAAAGAACATTGATGTAAGGGCAGAAGATGGGATGAAATTCTGGCTCTACCATTCACTAGCTATGTGCCTTTGATAAAACACTGACTACTCATACTACTAATATTTATCAAGGGATAAGTTCGCATAAGTGAGTGAATGCTTGTCATTCAGAACAGAAACATGGATCCAGCCCTCGTCGAGCCTGACATTTTATTATCCATAAAATGGTGCTATAAGCACTACTTCTATAGTGTTGTTATAGGGATTGATGAAATAATGTGTGGGGAAATATATCAGAGATGTGAAAATGCTGTCAGCATCTCACCACCAGGAATCAAATGTACTCACTTAACAAGGGCCAGTACAGTCTCCGACGATTCTGATGGTGATGGCGCCATCACCACGAGGGGCTCTCCCAATAGCACCAGCTCCCAAAGCATCTGACTATGAAGAAAAACTGGGCAGAAACACCTGAGAAGTGTTTACACAGAATTATTTTGTTATTTATCCAATCCTGACTTTTAAATTCTCACATAATCATTCTTTAAAAATTCACATTGATATAAATTCTTTCTGATTTTTATATTTTGGTCTGGTATACAAATTATGCATAGAGACAGACTTAATTTCCTTTTATATACTTTTTATATCCTTTGAGGGTTTTTTTTTTGAGACAAGATCTGGCTATAGGGCTGGGGATTTAACTCGGTGGTTCTGCCACCTGCCTCACAAGCGCAAGGTCCCGAGTTCAATCCCTGGTACAAAAAAAAAAAAAGATCTGGCTGCCTCAGCCTCTTGAGTGCAGGGATTACTGGAATACAACAGCATGCCCAGCTGAAAGTGTATAATTTTTAAACTGTTTTACCATATGGTAAATTTATTTTAATAATACTGTCTTGTTATGTTTGAATTTCCACTCTAAATATTTTGAAAGAAACAAAAAAAGTAATTTCCCAAAGGGGCATTTCTTGTTTTTTATTATTTTGGGTTTTTTTTTTTTCCTGGTACCGGGGATTGAACTCAGGACCTTGCACTTGCAAGGCAGGCACAGTGCCACTGAGCTAAATCCCCAGCCAAAGGGGCATTTATTGGATATGCCTAATTTAAAAGACGGTGCTGCACTGGGTACGTAGCTCAGTAGCAAAGCACACATGCAGTATGTAGGAGGCCCTGGATTTGATCCCTAGCACCACAGAGATTAGAGATTAGACATGAGAAATAAAGACAGAGAGACAGTGATAGAGATGGGGGAGTTAATAGTCAAAAGCAGGATTAAGAAGGGGTGGGAAAGCAAAACAAGAAGTTTAATATATAACTGACCATTAAACATCAACTGAGATAGCTCAATACTTTGGACCAGCCAAAAAGCGGGTGCTTTTGAATGCTGGGCATGGTGGCGCATGCCTGTAAACCCAGCACTCAGGAGGCTGAGGCAGAAGGATCTCCATGAGTTCAAGACCAGCCTGGGCTACACAATGAATTGAAGGCCAGCTTGAACTACATAGTGAGACCCTGTCTCAAAAAAAAAAATGCTTTTAATATTAGAGAATGACAACAACAAATCACTAGGGAGAGTTTGAATGCTGAACAGCAGATCCTCCCAATGCAAAACTGCTGCATATTTTTATAGCAGCGCTGGAACTGAATGAAGGCCGTAACTCCACTAATAATTACTAAGCCTTGGACATTTGGTAATTTTTACTTATTCAGTTAATTTTTTTCCTGGATGGTAACAATTTTTCCTAGCAGATTACAGATAGGGGAAAAAAACCTTATCTATTTGTGAAGATCATAATCTAAAACAATTAAAAAACACACAGGGCTGGTAGAGGGCTTGCCTAGCATGTGTGAGACCCTTGATTCTATCTCCAGCACAAAACCAAAACAAAACAAAAAAACTCCACATATACACACAAAGAAAAAAAGTAAATTTAAATCCAAAAATATCCAATAAAAATTTGAGGTGCAAATTAGGAGAATTAATCTTAACTACTCAAAGGCAAAAAGAAAATGTGAAGAAAGTGCTCCTCCAAGAAAAGATAGCCCAAGGATAAAGCCAAGGGGCTCTTCCTCTTCCTTTCCCAATTAATTGAATCCTAAAGCAGAACAAAGCAGGTATTTTCACCTGAGGGGAAGAGAGCCACACTGGCCCAGAGGTGAATATCAGAGCTTGTGTGAGGAGAAGTGGCCACCCATGTGCAGGGAGTGGCCTGATCTGGAGCCTGCAGAACCACTGTGTGGTGAGGAAGGGGTATGGTGGGGGGGTCTGGTTTAGGGGTACAAAGTCTAGGAGGCATGTGCTGAGGAAGCACAGAGAGACAGCCCACTGTGTAGTGTCAGAGCCACAGTGGGTGAAGAGAACACAAATTCCCTTTGATGAATGTGATCATTATGTATGTTTAAACTGTACCAATACAAGTAATAAAAATTAATAAATTTATGCCCATTCCTCAAATTATTCCTTAATAAATTAAAAATTACAATACCATTATTCTCTTTTTTTTTTTTTTGGAACCAGGGATAGAACTTGGGTCCTTGCACTTGTGAGGCAGGCAGCGGAACCACTGAGCTAAATCCCCGGCCCAACAATATCATTATTCTCACACTAAAACAAAACACAATTTATTTTTACCATGTAAAACCCAAACCATATAAAAATTTCCCTGTCAATGTTCATAAAATGCAGCCAGGGATGAATCACTGATTGATTGATTTTTTTTTTTTTTTTTTTGAGACAGGGTCTCGCTGTGTAGTTCAGGTTGGCCTTGAAATCACTGTGAGCCCAGGCTGGCCTCAAACTTTTGATGGTCCTCTGGCCTCAGCCTCCCAGGTGCTGTCATTGATCTTTTACCAAGTAAAGTAAGTATTTCCATCTAACTTTTTCCACATCATCCATCAGAACACTCATTTTCTAAATAAATTATCAAGTAAGACAAAGCAAGAGAGAAAAGTTAAAGTGTTTTTTTTACCTGAAAAGATCCACCTCATGAACAGTAGGTAAAATAACAGATATGTGTGTATTTGCCTAAGAGATAAAAAGGAAAATGAGAAGATATCACTAAAATTTGCAGAAACTGATTTTTAAAATATGCCTATGTAGTTCATGATCAATAAGCCAGGCTGCCTATCTATATTTTTATGATTCATTTCCTCTAGGAGCAGCCAGAAAGAGAATGGGTCTTACTAATCTCCCATAATACAGCACAAGACAGAGAAAAAAACATAGATACCATGGATAAAGAACTATCCAGTAGTTAGATGTTAGATTAGATCACAACTATATGAAATACTTCCATTATAACTAGATAATATAAGTAACAGGAAAAAAAAAATTAGTCCTCTTCCTGCTCTCCATTTGTATTCAATGCAAAGGATAAAGGGAGTGCTAACATACCAGATAAAACCTTTCAAATGAAAAATTCAACTCCACCCATGAACAGATGTTTTCAGAGAAAGGAAAAGGAATCATAACTAAAAAATCCTTTTGTAAGAGTCTTCTAAAATCAGAAGTCTTCTGGCCACTCTTCTAAGATAAAAGGTTTTACCACAATTAAACCTTGTTGAAAAAACACTTTTCCCTTGTCCTAACAACTACAGTATAAATTCTGAGTTCTCCAGTGTCTATTGGAGAAATAACAAGAAACAGGAGAAAGTTTATTATCAATTCATTGGAAAATTACTTAACAGAGTATTTCAGTAATATCCAGAAATATATAATAAACCCAAGAAACCACATTTGCTAGTTTTAAAGTTCTGTGATCATTTTATCATGTTCCATACACTACCTGTTGAGTTAGCTGTGTTATTTGAGTAGTCCCAGGCTTGTCATAACATGTGGGAATCCGTACCTTAAAAAGATAAGAAAGTATCTTTGACTGTAAATGAATGAGGGATCAGAAGTACCCTATTCTGCTGCTATAAAGGAATATTCAGCAATCCCTAAAAAGGTATTTTAAAATATTTATATCAGATTAGCCTGGCATAGTGATGCACACCTATAATCTTAGCAATAGGGAGGCTGAGGCAGGAGGGTCTTCAATGAGTTTGAGGCCAGTCTGGCTACATGGTGAGTTCAGGGCCAGCCTGAGCTACATAGCGAGACCCTGTCTAAAATAAAACAAAACAAAAACAACAAACAAAAACTTTGTCAGATTAAAAAACTAAGGCTATATTTATTTTCAGTTACAGCAGAAAGTGCAAGGTCTCCATATTCACAAACACAGTGAAATCACTAACCTACTGAGAAGCAAACTTGCCAAAAGACAGAAAAAGGACATCAACATCACACTGTTTCCTGTTTATTGTTCTAATCTTTCCTTCATTAATATACACACACCCAAACACACCCTCAAGCTTGCCAAACCTTTGGATAAATGCCCCAGGAAATAATGAGCACTTTCAACCAAGAGCTATCAGTATAACTTTTGATGATTTCCCAAGGAAAAAAATAGAACATACAAAAAAAAATGAGCAAATCTAAAGAGAGAACACTGTCAAAAATAAGTCAAACTTGATAGTGAATTGTACTTAAAGTACTCATACAAGGTCTGACAGTAAAATGCTAATGTATTTTTAAAAAAGCAACAACCCACAAAATCACACTAACAGAGAATAACCGGGGAAGAATGTTTATTTATAACTGAGAACCAATGGCTTTCCTAATTTCTCTGAATTTTCAGTAATTCAAACTTAATTGGTCAAGTGATCTGTCTCTGCTACTACCCACCCCTGGAGGCACTGGTGTGGGCCAGGAGTTGCAGAATTGTAGGAGGGAGCATTACATTCACACATATTACACAGGAAAGACACTCCTGTGCAAACGGGATGCAGGGGGACTGCAGGCATGGAGCTGTTACCACTAACTGTAGGAAGCAGGATGAGTTTGCTGTCTCTAACACCTCACACCAGACTCAAAAAAACCCCAATAAATAAATGAATAAATAAAAATAAAATAAAATGAGACAAGTGAGATAGCTATAAGCCAGAGATGGCGAACTTTTAGAGACTAAGTGCCCAAACTGCAACCCAAAACCCACTTACTTATCACAAAGTGCCAACACTACAATTAAACCTGAATACTGAGGTTTTAGTTTAGAAAAAACAACTCATATATTAACATCTTTCGTCATAAATGAAAAACACAACATGCGTGCCAAAGATTTACCACCACTGCTGTAAGCTATTACCTTCATCACCACTCCCATGATAGGCAGGTGCAGTGTTTTCCCTGGCACTGGGGCAGGCCATCTATCAACATCATTACACGCTGAAAAATGTAACAAAAGATTTTCTTAGTATAAGTAAAAATATTGAAGTATTAAAATGGGGCATTAGAAATTAGAACTCTACTTTCTGTAAAGCAGAATAGAAGATAAAAGAAAAGTAATAGTGATGAAAATATCTTACATTTCACTCAGAAAAACATATGTTCTAGGTAGAATATAAATTGGTTAATACTTTTTTTATTAGCAATAATGAGGATTGAACCCAGGGACTCACAGATGTTGAGCAAGCACTCTAACCACCAAACTATACCCTCACCCTTTATTTTGTTGTTTGTTTTGTTGTGCAGTTTTGAGACACGGTCTCACCCAGTTGCCCAGCCTAGCCTCCAACTTTCAATCCTCCCACCTTAGCGTCCCAAGTCAACAATCAGCAGGTTTACAGGGATGTGCCACCATGCATGGCAATAAAATTTTTTGAAAGTGACAAATTAATAGGTTTAAAGAGAGTCTTTCTGTTTATTACTACTAAAACTAGCAACAAATGAAAAGCCTGGTGTGGTGGCACATTCCTGTAATCCCAGCACTTGGAAGCTGAGGCAGGAGGATCACTGTTAGTTAAGAGGCTAGCCTGGGTACACAGTGAGTTCGAGGCCAGCCTGAAGTGAGACTCTGTCTCAAAACAAACCAAAATTAATTAATCAATAAATTAAATTAGCTACAAATACACATCACCTGGTAGAGTGATTATTATTAGTGATTTCCATTCAATGGTACTCTGAGAATTGTGAACTCAAAATTTATTCATTATTATCCTAATAAATGAATACCATCTATGTTGTTAGAGGTGATAAGAACAGATACTATTTTTGGTGTTTGTAGGAAAAGATGCCAAATAGTTTTGTATCTCTTTCCCTCATATAATCCTTAAATTATTCTCCAAATTTTTAAAGGTCAACTTCATTTTCATCATGCATTTTCAGTAAAAGTTTAAAAACATAAAGATATATAATTCATACAACGTTTAACATACCTGCTTCCAAATAAGGTTCGTTCTTTTCAAAATACTCTGGTGCTATTTGTTTCAGCACAGTGTGAAAAAAATGAATGTAAGGTAGTTTGCTGATTAAAACCAATGACTAGGGGGAAAAAAAGAAATAATTTTAAAAAATCGTCTAATGATTACAATTTAAGTCTGCCATTCACATCTTGCAAGAGCAATTACTAACTAAATTCAGCAAAAAGTGTGGATTTTAAAATAAAAAGGCTTTTACAATGGACAGTTAGAAGGAATCACAAAACCATAGCTGCAGTGTATAAAAATTGTAACTTTATTATCACACTTTAAGACTATTACGCCACATTCACAGATGTTCCTAATCTTCAGGAGAAAGAATTTCCTATAAACAGATCAATGCCACGGGTAATTTCCGCACCCTGGCTACTACTGTGCACAGCACAGCAATATCAAGAATTAGCCAAATGAACACTTCCATTAAGGAAAGAAGGAATTGTGATGCTTTATCCAAAGACCTATGACTATTACATTGTATAGTTCAATTGTTACGCCCATATATTTCCAAATTGTGATTTTATAGTTTGACCACTTAGGATTTGGAATATGCTGAATTTATAAAATGTTTTTTTCAGGATGTGGTGCTGCACACCTATAATTCCAGCACTCAGGAGGCTGAGGCAGGAGGATCATTGAGTTCAAGGCCAGCCTGTGCAACACAGTGAGTCGAAGGCCAGCCTGAACTACATAGCTAGACCACATCTCGAAACAAAACAACAACAATTTTTTAAAAAGTTGTTTTTCTTGAAAACCACTCTTTACCTTTCCATCCAGCATCAATTAGTGGTCAGGGAAAATTCTGGTTATAAATAGAAATGGCGTGCTCTATTAGTTGGGATTAAGTAAGATGTATTCATTTTTCTTTATTTTTTTTTAAAAAGACTGCACATTTAGAACGGAAACAATAATTGCTAAGGTGTTGCTGAAGTTTACTTACTGGTTACTCAAAAAAAGATACTGCAAGCTTTTATTAGTTGTAACAATATTACAACTAATTTTATTATTTATTTTATTATTTATTATTTTATTCTAAAATACCAAAATTAAGAAGATTCTTCCATACACTAACGCAACTTAGCAGGATTCTAGCACAAAGATAGCAAAAATTCAATAGCACTTTCTTTTTTTGGGGGGGGTACTGGGGATCAAACTCGGGTCCTTAGCTTGCGAGGCAGGTGGTGGAACCACTGAGCTAAATCCCCAGCCCAAAGCTAAATCCCCAGCCCCAATAGCACTTTAAAATTTAAGAACAAGTATGTATAATCTAAAAAGTACAGACAAAATTTAAAGTCTACTACATTTAAAGATGAAATACCTAAAACTTTAAAGACTGTTAAATCTGCTTCTATTTTTCCAATCATAATATAAAAATACTTTATTAGTATATATGAAAATTACCTTCTGAAAGTAGCCTCTCTTAAGAGTTTTATCTCGAACTTGTCGAAAATACACATATCCATAAAAATAAGCAGGGTCTTTCTATAAAAGAAGTAACAAAATAAAAATGTTAATGTATGGTCAGCACTTAATATTAACATCAGGTTCCTTTATAAACCCAAATCAAGATGTGAGGAACAAAGAACTAGTTATGTTTTTCTATCAACAAACAATAACCATGACAGTAGTTGCCAGATAAAATCCTAATTTGCCCAAAAATGAAAGATTTATAATCTAAAATGAGACTAAGAATCATCTAAAGTGAGACTTTCCCCTTACATACTCAGTTTAAATTCCTTATTCATAGCTATAGTAATTAAAGTTAGAAAATAACCAAATTCTGTATTTTCCCCAATGCTATATATGTATTTTTAATTCTACCTACAATTTTGAATTTGTCAGGGATATAAGGGGGTCAATCTTTTACCAAACTGAGGTGTCCTAAAATAAAATTTCAAGAGAGAAAATAAAAGGCATTAAAAACCAATCTGAATCGTACATATTAGTCATACGTTAATCCAAAAAATAATGAAACTTCTAGAGTGTTTTTATACTTGATCTTAGCCAAAAGGCCGAGAAGCAATTCTCTAGAGTGTTTTTAAACACACAATTTGAAAAGAAACTATACTGTAAAACCTATGGAGTTCTGAGATCTTAACAAAATAAACTTTGGCTCAGTTCCTTATTTGAGATTGGTATTGTTTAAGTAAATATTTATTAGTTTCATCCTTCAAACAAGGTATTGTGTTAAGACAAGATAAAGACATGCATAAAGCACAATTCTTTAAGGAGATTACAATCTCGGAGGGATATAAAAAGTAAAAAATGATTATTATATAACAGAGGGTAGGTTCCAGGAAAAAAAGCACAAATTGTTATAAGAAGGTCAAGAGAGAAGAGTAATGACTACATGGAGGCAGCTGATTTTTAACTGGGCATTGAAAGAACAGATATGATGTATTTAAAGACAAAGACATTTGAGATTTAGAGGGTTAAAAGTTTGAGAAAAACTGAAAAATACAAGCTTTCTCAAGAAAACCCACATAGTTCAATTTGGCTAAAATAGAACACAAGTATACAAGAAGAGGTTGGAAAAGTAAAGGCTTTCTTATTTTGATAGATTGAAAATAGTTAAGATGAGGAAACAGTACCATCATTAGCTCTTTACTCATTCAGCAGTTACTAATCATTTTATATTCTATTTACTTTTATACTGTAGATATACTTTAGCTGGCAACACTCTATAAGATATAGTGTGTTGGAAAAAAAAATTGGGATGTCTTTGGGCATCCTCATTTCCCTAATCTGCAAAAGGAACTCTCACAGAGAATTGTAGGGAGGATTAATACGTAATATATTCTTACTAATACTTACAGTATCTAGAACATAAAAAGTCTTAATAAATAATAGCCATTATTATCACTGATTGGAAGAGAATATCGAAGAGACATTCCAAAGAGAGAAATTTTGCTGAGATGGGGTTCCTGCCACAAGCGGAACAGAAAGGTCAATTGTAAAAGCCAACTTCAGGCCAATAAAGTCAAATTCATACTGAATATGCTGAAAGGATATCCGGGTGAAATGTTCCTCATGCAGTTAGATATAAGCATAGAGTACCAAGGAGAGAAGCACATAGACTCTAAAATCATCTGAGTTATTAAAATTGTTTCAATAAACAGTAACTATAAGCAAAGTACATTAGAAAATAAAAAAGAAACAACTATATACTATCATAAAGTATAAGGGTTACTACTCCAATTCTGGACAGTACTGTTTAGCGGCACTCCACCCCCACATCTAAACAAAGAATTATTAACAAAAGAAAATCACCTCAGCATTCTAATCCATTTCTATAATTCACAATGGCATTATATGTTTCAAGAACAATAACTTTTTAGTCTCATTCACTCATATGCTAAAACCTTATCAGTTAGATTCTCTGAAGAAATTCGGCTACATAATAAAGTAACAAAACAGAGTAAAATATTTCTGAATGCTCTAAGAGGTAACTGAAAAAATGGGTTCTAATGCAGTAAGCTGTAAGAGTTTCTTCTCACATGGACATGTTTCTATAACTACTTTTCCAACCTTTAAGTAAACTGGTAAATCTTTGTCAAATTGATCCAGAAGACAATGCAGTGACACCCTCCTCCCAGAAGACCGTCGAAATCTAAAACAAAACTGGGTATCTCCAAGACAACCTAATGAAAACAAAAATGAAACAAATTAAGTATAGCTTAGCAAAACATTTACTTATCCAGTTTCATCAGTTTTAGAGCTGAAGGAATCCTATAAGTCGTTAAACACATTCTCTCGGGTTTCAGAGAAGAAAAAAAGAGATCCTAAAAGTTCAAGTGCCTTTCTCAAAACCATTTTTGCTGAACAGAAGCAAAAGCCAGAAGTGAAACATGAAACTCTTTGCTTTTCCTACTCTATTTTCCCCATGCAATTAAAAATTTGGGGAATCTGCCTGGTATAATGCTGACTCACAAACATAATAAGGAGCAAAACAACACAAACATAAATCCACGTAGGTAAAATAAAAAATTTAAACAGAAAAACAATAGTGCTTACAGATCCATGACTGGGTCGTAAAAATCTAAAGAAAAGAATCTGGGCACAGAGGCACAGGCCTATAATCCCAGAATTCTGAGAGGTTGAAACAGAAGGATTTCAAGTTCGAGCCCAGCCTGGGCTACTTAGCTCCTTAATGCAATCCTGGCTCAAAAGTTTAAAAAGGGTTTGATGTACAGTAGGTCAGCGCAAAGGTGCTGGGCTCAAACCTCAATGGGGGAACAGGAGTAACAAACTTATACAATCAGCATAGTAGTTACACATGAGAGAAGAATAATGAGAAGACGTGGCAAGAAGACACTTTTGAGGTGCTGGCAAAGTTCTACTTCTTGACCTTGCATGTGTTTTATATTTCACAATGAAAAGCTCTTGTTTGTTTATTGTGCTGGGGATTGATCCCAGGGCCTTGCCCACACTAGGCACAGGATCTACTACTGTGCTATACTCTCAGCCCAAAATATTCTTTTAAAAAGATATAATACAAGGGCCAGGGATTTAGCTCAGTGGCACCATGCCTGCCTGGCAAGCACGAGGTCCTCAGTTCAATTCTCAGTACCAGAAAAAAAAAAAAAAAAAAGATAATACAGCTGGATATGGTGACACACACCTGTAGTCCCAGCATCAGGAAGCTGAGGCAGGAAGAATCACCATGAGTTCAAGGCCACCCTCAGCTACATAGCGAGCTCAAGGCCAGACTGGGCTGCATACTGAGACCTTGTCTCAAAAAAATAAATAAAAATAAAAAAGATATAATAGAGCTGGGTGTGGTGGTGCACGCTTGTAATCCCAGCACTCAGGAGGCAGAGGCATGAGGATTGCCATGAGTTCTAGGCCAGCCAGGGCTACACAGTGAGTTCAAGGCCACCCTGAACTACATAGTGAGACCCTGTCTCAAAAAAAAAGCTATAACATAGAAGACTCTAAAAGAGACCAAGTAATCAACTTACTACTTTAATCATCTGAATTTAAAACAAATTTTTAAAACTTTAGTCATTTTAGCAAATCTCTTAAAAATGTAAGTTTTAATTAAATTGTCAGGTAATAACTATTAAAAAAACTATAAAAATCCATCTATTTAAAAAACACATGAAGTAATCTATCACTCAAATCTTTCCCAGTTACTACAGTTAGAACTAATAACATTATAATAAATATGAAATGTGCTCAATATTTGTATTATTACTTATTACTACACACATAATCACTAACATTTATCAGGTGACATTTTAGAAAGGAAACAGAAACCTGACAATATGCTTAAAATTTTTTAAAGCTTCCGCTGCCTGTCTCCCAAGTGTAAGGTCCCGAGTTTGATCCCCTGTACCTGTACCAAAAAAAAAAATATTTGTAAAGAAACCTAGCACAATATCTAAGCAAATATAGTCACTAATACTTCTTTGGTGGTAAAGAAGAAGGAGACTGGAGGCTGAATTGATTCAGTTTCTTCGCTTGTTCAAGCAAATAGTTTAAAAAATAAGACAAGCACACAAAACCTGAGAAAATGGGAAATACTTTGTGATATGGGTCAAGAATTATTTTAGCTTGACATATATATATGTGTATATATATGTATATATATATATATGCACACATACTTATGGTTCAATTTTCCTCTTTAGAAGTCATTTAAATCCTTTTTTAAAAGACAAAAAAGTACAGGGAAGAACACACTAATTTCTCTTAAACTCTTAGCAAGATAAAAAGATCAAAAACTTAAAATTGCAGCTGAGATTTAGCTCAGTGGTTCTGCCACCTGCCTCACAAGCGCATGGTCCCGAGTTCGATCCCCAGTACCAAAACAAAGCAAAAACAGAGTCTGCAAAAACCTGAAACTATAAAATTCATAGAAGAAAACATCAGGAAAAACCTTATCTAAACCTGGCAACTATTTTTTTGAGACAAGGTCTTGCTTGCTATGTTCAGGCTATGCCTTGAACTCATTATGTAGTCCAGGCTGGCCTCAAACTCATGGCAATCCTCCTGCCTCACCCTCCCCAGTGCTGAGACCACAGGCATGCACCACCATGCGTGGCATGGCAACTATTTCTTGGGCATGACCCCACAGGCACAGGCAACATAAGTACAAATAGACAAATGGGGCATTAAACTTACAAATGTTTGCACAAGAAAGCAAGCAACGAACATAGTGAAAAGGCAACCTACTAAATAGGAAAAAATATTTGCAAATCATATATCTGAAAAGTGGTTAATATCCATAATATAAAAATAACTTCAAATCATTAACAACAACTTAAACAATCCAATGCAAAAATAGGAGAAGTACTTGAATAGGCATTTCTCCAAAGAAATACAAATGAACAGATGCTCAGTATTACTATTCATTTGGGAAATGCACATCAGAACCACAATGAGGTATCGTTTCATACCTGTTAGGATGACCATTATCAAAGAAGAAAGAAAAGAAATGGACAAATATTGAAGAGGATGTGTAGAAGCTAATTCCTATGTACTATCAGAATATAAAATACTCATATTAGAATATAAAATACTATGTATGAGTATATATGGAAAAGAACTGAAAAAAGGTCTCTAAGAGGTATTTGTATAGCCATATTCATTGCAGTACTATTCATAATGGCCAAAAGGTAGACTCATCCATCAGTTGAAGAACAAAGAAAGAAAATATGGTACATGCATATAATGGAATATTACCTAGCCTTAAAAAGAAAAGTCATATGTACAACATGGATAAACCTTAATGATATTAAGCTAAGTGAAGTAAGACAGAAACAAAAATATACTATATAAGGGCTGGTGATTTAGCTCAGTGGTTCTGGCACCTGCCTCGCAAGTGTAAGGTCCCGAGTTTGATCCCCAGTACCAAAAAAAAAAATAAATATATATATATATATATATATATATAATATAATATAATATAACATGATTCCACTTATTTGAGGCACCTAAAAGTAGTTAAACTCTCAGAAAGTAGAATGATGGTTGCAGAGGGCTGGAAGAAGAAAAGGGAAGTTGTTAATGGATAGAGAATGTCAGTTTTCCAAGATAAAAAAGTTCTAGAGAGCTATTGCACGACAATATTCATACAGTTTACACTACTCTGTACACTTGAAAATGGTTAAGACAATTAATTTTCTGTTTTGTTTTTGTGGTACTGGGAAGTGAACCCAAGGCTTTCTCACTGAGCTACATCTCATACTTCCTTTTTTTTCTTTCTTTTTTTGGTTTTTTGAGTCAGGTTCTTGCTGTGTAGATCAGGCTAACCTAGAACTCACTTTGTAGTCTAGACTGGTCTTGAACTCACAGCTATCCGCCTGCCTCAGCCTTCTAATTGCTGGGATTACAGATGTGTGCCATCACACCTGGCTCATACTCCTTTTTATTTTGAAACAGGGTCTCACTAAGTAATGCAGACTGGGTTTGAACTTTCATTTTATTTAATTTATTTGTTTGGTACCGGGGATCGAACTTGCGAGGCAGGTGGCAGAACCACTGAGCTAAATCCCCAGCCCTTTCCATACATTTTACTTTATTTTATTTTCTATTTTTTTTATTTTTGAAATCTGTGGTGATTTTTTTTTTTTTTTGGTACCGGGGATTGAACTCAGGACCTTGCACTTGAGAGGCAGGTGGTGTAATCACTGAGCTAAATCCCCGGCTCTGGGTTTGAACTTTCAATCCTCCTGCCTCAGTCATCCAGAGTGCTGGGATTACAAGTATGAGCCTCCACTCCTGGTTTATTTGTGGTTTGACAATAATAATAATAATAATAATAATAATAATAATAGTAAGGAAATCACTTAAACTATCAACAAAAGCTAGGGGTACTATTAGATGATCTCTAAAGTCACATTCAGCAGTAACAAAGATTATAAACTAAAATTTCCCAACTGAGCTGTGACTGTACTTAATTCTAAGCATCTCATCTAACATGCTCACTAGGAAAACAAAAGACCAATAAAGCCCTCAAGGGATCTAAAAGTTACACTATGAACAACATGGCTTTCAGATTATTCACTTAAAAATGGAAAAAACAAAAACAAAAAAACAAGCCAGAAATGGTGTTGCACACCTGCAACACCAGCACTCTGGAGGCTGAGGCAGGATTGTTGCAAGTTCAAAGCCAATCTGGGACACACAGTGAATTCAAGGCCAGCCTGAGCTACACAGTGAGACTCTCAAAAAATATCCCCCCAAAGCAAAAATTAATGTAAAGGGACTTTTTCTTTTATAAACAAAGACATAAGCATTCATTTACATAAATTTTAAATGACAACTCTCCAAAGAAAAGACAAATTAGCTCACATTTTTGAGATATATATATAAAAATAGGTGCTAAGGGACCAGCAAATCAGGCCAGTAAGACTCCACAGCTTCAGTAAATGTTCCATTTTCATTTATCTAACACAGTCTCTACTAGCCTAGAAAACACAACTAAAATTCCTACAGGCTTAAAACCTACAAACTTTCTGTAATCTTTTCCTTTTTTTCTTGAGAGTGCTGGGATTACAGGTGTATGCCACCATGTTGAACTATGAAATGTTTCCCCAGTAACTAAATATATTTCTACCATAAGTCTCCTGGGCTGGGGATTTAGCTCAGTGGTTTTGCTGCCTGCCTCGCAAGTGCAAGGTCCCAAGTTCAATCCCCGGTACCAAAAAAAAAAAGACTCCTATAGATTCCTAAGTCAAAAGTATTAAAATTATTTTGTCACTATTTCAGAGTGATTTTCCCGTCTAATAATTTAATAAGCAATAATAGTTATTAAGCGCCGACTCTGGTGCCACAGCTATTCTAAATGCTTTGATGTATTAACTTACTTGGTCTTCACGCTTCTCAGACAGGTCTCATTTTTATCCCTGTTTATAAGGAGGAAACTAAAACACAGAAAGCCTACATAAAATCATCCCAAAAAACAAATCCGCTAAATGGAAGGGCAAGAATTTAAACCCAACAAATCTGATTTGAATGCTGACACTTTGAAACTATCCCAAATCAAAATGACTTCAAAAATACTACTTCTCTCATTTATATGAAATCTCTGAAATAGATAAATCCATAGAGACCAAAAAGCAAATAAAGGACTACCTGGGACTAGGGTGAGAATGATGGTTGTGGTAATGGGAAAATGGAGCACAATTTCTTTTGGGGGTGATAAAAATGTTCTAAAATTGATTGTGGTAATATATGTACAATTCTGTGAATATTGAAAAAAATCATTGAATTGTATAGGGCTGAGAGTGTAGCTTAATGGTAAAGTGCTTGACTAGTGTGATCCCCAGCACCACACACAATAGCAGTAAGTCAGCTGTGGTGGTGCACATCTGTAATCCCAGCACTTAGGCAGCTAATGCAAGAAGATCAAGACAGCTTGGCCTATTATACGGAGTTCAAGGCCAGACTGGATTACATATTGAGACCTTGTTGCAAAACAAAACAAAACAAAACAAAATCCAACAATGAAAAGGAAAACTCCACTGAATTATACATGTTGCATGAAAATTACATGTTATATGAGTTGTATCTCAACGTTACTAATGTAAATTTTTTACTCACAATTGAAGCAGAAATTGTAACCTCTTTTTTTATTCCAAAAACTAAAACCCTTCTGAACCAGACCCTTCAGATGAAGACTTCTTGAACTTATTGGCCCCTGTGCCATCTGCTCATTCAAGGAACCAGGCCTTTTAGCAATCGCTCCTCCTATACCAGTGTCAGGTGTTATGACAGAAAGAAATTCCCTTCAGTTTTAAAATTACCATAGACATAAGAGTATTTTGTAAGCGTCCTTTACCCCTGCAACTCAACTGAGACTGCAAAGCTAAAAAGTAAAGAGAACATCTTCTTGTACCAAAAAATCACAGATTTGAGAAAAAAAATCAACTGTTTTATTTATTTACTCTTTTTTTTGAGACAGGGTCTCACTTTATAGTGCAGACATCTGTATGATGGCACACATCTGTAATCCTAGCACTCGGGAGGCTGGGGCAGGAGGGTCACTGTGAGTTTGAGACCAGCCTGGGCTACATAGTAAGTTCAAGGCCAGCTTGAACTACATAGTGAGACCCTGTTTCAAAAATAAATAAATAGCCAGGGATTTATTAGCTCAGTGGTTCCACTGCCTGTCTCACAAGCGTAAGAACCTGAGTTCAATCCACGGTACCAATAAATAAATACATACATACATACATACATACATAAATAAATAAAAGCATTTTTATCTGTATAGCTTCATATGGTCTACAATGTTGTTTTACTTCTTTGGTATACAATGGAAAAAATGTTCATTTATGACTCCTAAGGTCTGCTCTATTATCTAGATTTCCTTTCACAGCACTGAAAGCTATTTGGGGAAAAATTAAATCCACTTCAAAGTGGGCACAGTTTTCAACTTCCATTTAAAAGACACATTAGAGAAACAAAGTGAATAATCACAACTGGGATGGGTGGGTCTCAAAAACATACAAAACACAGGCTCTTACTGCCTAGGTTAATATTAATGCTCATCTGTTAAGATGGCAAGGTGCCTACTTTCAAAATCTGTTGTCAATTTTACTTGTAAGTACCAACCACACTCTGGGTGAAATAAACCACACTTCATTTGATATGCAGTTTATTAAAAAGCCATTTAAAAATCTATATGTCATTCGAATATCTAAAGTTTTCATTTACATAGATTTGCATTTGAGTTTAATTTCCAAAAAGAAAATGATTCATGAAGAGACTGACTTGAAACAAGATTATCTATTTGTTTATTTATCTATGAGACAGGGACTTGCTATGTAGTTCAGGCTGCCCTTGAAATCACTATGTAGCCCAGGCTGCCCTAGAACTCATGGAGATCCTCTTGCCTCAGCCTCCAGAGTGCTGGGATTACAGGCATGTGCCACCATGCCCAGCTAAAACTAGATATTTAAAAAGGCTAATCAAACATCACAGAATTCACTTCTTAGCCTTGATACATGGATGGGCAGACTTTTCCTCTACTCTCTTAGGACTTGTCCATTAAATCAACCAAAAAGAGATTAACAACAAAAAGATTTATTTCACAAGCACATGAAAGCATCACACACACAAAGTAAAAATCTCGAAAGGACTTTAGGCTTGTGAGCTTGTATACTATTTTAACAAAGGTTTGTGGTTTTTTTTAAGAGTAGGAAAATTTATTGGGGAATAGGAACAGGGAATAAGAAGGGGGAATAGGGATAGCTTCTGAGAGATAGGAGGAGTCCCAGATGAGTTGCCCTTAACAAAGGTTTTAAATTGCAGAGAAATGACTATACAGGGGAAAAAGGGTTTGGGCTTCATGGAGCAATAAATTATGTGAAGGTAAATTATGCAGAAAACTAATGGAATTGATTAGGATTATTTTAGCAAGGTTTGTTTATGCAGACACAAGTCATGGCCACCTCCAATGAGAGTCTTCTACAGTGATTCTGAACACTTTCCTCTTCCTGATATAGCAAAGGGTTAGGCCAGGAGACATCTTCATAAACAGAAATCATGCCTTGCACTCAGGCATACAGGGGAAGGGGAAAGAATGCTTTGCATCTGCTGCTTCTTCATCACCTGCAGCTCAAAATAATCTTTATGGCAAAACAGCTTATTTGGGAGGAGGGGAGCATTTTCTGATCTCCTTCATGCTCATGGAGACATGTAAAGAGAAAAGTGTACAATGCAATCCACTGGGATACCTATCACAGAGTAAATTCATCCTGCAAACCACACAACTCAGATTACCTTGAGTCTAAAAAATCAACTCAAGACTCATTACATTCAAAACTGTATGTGCAGATTTCATTTAAAAAAAATGTTAACCAAAATGAGGACAAATCCTAGAAGACCTGTCATTATTTCACTAATACACAAAAAAGCCAAGTGTGGCAGATGATGCAGCACATCTGGGAGGCTGAGGCAGAAGGACTGAAAATCTGAGCCCAGCCTGGGCAATTTAGCAACTCAGCAACACTCTACAGTGTTCCAAAATTGAAAATACAAGAAAGGGCTGAGGAGCTCAGTGAATAGGTCCTAGGTTCAATCCTCAGTTCTGAGCAAAAAAGAAAAAACAGGCAAAAAAAACCCACTGAAGAGTTAATTATTACAAGTCAGAACAAAAGACCTACTGAACTCTATCAAAGACACATACCTAATTCATGAAGATAACAATTTTCTTTCACATATTTCAGCAAGGCTGATTTTCAACTAAGTATAGGGGAAAACTCTGGAAGCATTTATACAGAAAGGAAAAAGATGCTTTAAAAAATGTTTTTAGCGGGCCGGGGATTTAGCTCAGTGGTTTTGCCACCTGCTGCGCAAGCGCAAGGACCCGAGTTCGATCCCCAGTAACAAAACAAAAAAACAAAAAATGTTTTTAGGGCCAGGGATTTAGCTCAGTGGTTCTGGTGACTGCCTTGCAAGTGAAAGGTCCCAAGTTCACCCCTGGTACCAAAAAAAAATGTTTTTAAAGTCAATGTTCCAAATCAGATTAACTGAGCTAAATTAACAGTGTATGAGAAGTAATAACAAAAGGAAAGGGAACTGGAATGACTCCACTTTATAGGATTCTGTGTGTGGTCTGAGAGGCTGAATGCTCTGGTCACTGTAAGTGAAAAAGCTGCTTTGAAAATACAACACAAGAGATAACCTGAAAGATATTAACAATTAGGACCACACAAAGAGTTTGAAGAAGACCAGGAAAACCAAGCTCAAGAAGTAAACACCTACATGGTGTTTTTATACACCCAGCACTACTTTACATAATATATTAACCCATACAAACTACTCTAAATAACTGATGGCCATCTTTCATAACTGGATTCACCCTCTCGCTGTTTTTTTTAAACTCATTGCTTTTACAGAATTCCTGGAAAGCTCCTAAATTCTGACCTAAAAATAAACTACATACTATGAGTTCCCAAATATCTCAAAGTTGTAATTTTCAATCTTCACTATTTTAACAGTTTATTGCTCCTTGATGTTTTACCTCATCACACCATAACAGTCATTTTCAACAGCTGAACCATCTAAAATCAACAGTGACACGACTAGACTTCATTAAACTAGGAATTAAAATCACTAATTTGTATGGCCGGGGATTTAGCTCTGTGGTTCCGCCACCTGTCTCGCAACCAAAAGGTCCCAAGTTCAATCCCCAGTACCAAAAAAAAAAAAAAAAATCACGAATTTGTTGAGATGAAATTGAGTTTGTATTCTAATATTACTTCAATTACTTTTCATATAGTAAGAGTATAACCAGTATTCTTACTATAAAATTCAACATAAACACCACATGAAAAATAATTACCTGAATTTGAATCTGGAAAAGACAAATAGCAAATATTGGTTTTCTGAAAAAGAAAACAAAAGCTATATATGCTGACATATATACACACACCAATAAAAACAACAGGAATATAACAATAGAGTATACAGAACAGTATTTTTACTTACTTCTTTATCAGTAAGTTTGGAATGTTGAGGATAAATTACCTGGAAGAAAAGAGTTAAATTTTGTTAGACATGAACATTAGTAGGCTACAACATTCTAGTTGGCTACAGTCAAATGGCTTTAAGAAACACTACACAGCCAGGTATAGTGGCATGCACCTGTAGTCCTAGCTACTTGGGAGGCTGAGAAAGGAAGACTGTTTGAGTCTAGAAGTTCAAGTCCTGCTCGCGCAACAGAACAAGATCTCATTTCAAAAAAAAAAAAACATACACACACACACACACACACTTCATAAACTTTAGCAGTGAAACAAGAAGGTAGGACAGCTAAGTAGGATTTACATTAGGTTAAAAAAATTTTTGAGTGAAAATTATCTCTAAGATTGGTAACATCACAAATTATCAAAAAAAACCTTACCAACTGAACACCTAATAACTCAACGCTTAATTTTTTAAAGACCTATAATCTAAAGAATAACTAATCTTCCTTGTTGCTTTTGCTACCTTATGGCTACCATCAACTATTTCTCCTTTGCCAAGCCACGCTACCTTGGAGCCATCTGATTACGGACTGAAACCTCTACAAACTGTCCTGGACCTTGATAGGCAAATTGCACTAGTACCTTGCACAATGAAACTTAATTGTGAATTTGTCACTTTGAAAAAAATTACAAAAGGTATAAAAACTAAGAAATTTTATATCAAAAGTTAACAGGGATCAAACTCAGGACCTTGTGCTTACAAGGCAGGCATGGTGCCACTGAGCTAAATCCGCAGCACATGTAAAGAAACTTAAATATATCATTCCCTTAATGAAAAGAAAGCAAGCCTCTAAAACTAAGACTTAGCACTTTCATTATACTTACAGTGAATCCACTACTCCTGGTATTTTGATAGAGGTTTTTCACACCGAGATTCCTATAGAGAATTTTGGTTTGGATATGGCTCACCCCCACCCCAAAGATCATACATTCCTGAAAGTAAGACATGAAGACTAAATCTCAATATTTAATTTGTTTCCCAAGAACTTTAAGTGGCCATAAATTTTTAAAAGACAAACTAAGGGTGTTAAAATTGTGTTTTCAGATAAGTAACTCTTATGTGGAAGCAAATTTTCTTTACAGTATTTTAAGAGCATTATAATATTTATCCAACTAATCTTTAGCAATGCCATGCTCCTATAGGAGAAATAATACAAAGATACTCAACAACTCCAAAATTTAGGCCTGAGACTTTTGGATTTTGATTAAGTCAAATTTATCAGAAAAAATTATTTTCCAAGCCTTAGTTTTTGAAGACAAGATGATAGTAATTGATCATACCACTGAATAAAGAAATCAATTTTGGCATACAAAAGCAGTGTATAAGCTGAAGTTCTTGAACAAAAGCAGCCTGTCAACTATGCTTCATTTAAGTACAGGAAAGATTGATGTTTGCCAAGTGTGCAATCAGAGAGAAGAAAAATATGTTTTCAAGCTTAGAGAATTGCCAACAATGAAGGAGAAAACAAACACAAATTTAAATGTAAAAAAAAAAAAGAATAACTAATCTATCTTTCAGCTGATGTCTACTTCAAAAAGTAATTTTCTTCCTGGTGTGGTGGTACACACCTGTAATCCTAGCTCTGGGAGGCTAAGGCAAGAAGATCAAAAGTTTGAACTCAAACTGGGCAATTTAGCAATTTCCAGGCCCTGTATAAATAAATAAACACTGTAAATAAATAAAAGGCTGAGGCTATAGCTCAGTGTGAAGGCCCTGGGTTCAATCACAAGTACCAAAAAAAAAAAAAAAGAGAGAGAGAGAAATAATTTTCAATTGATTCTAAGAAATAATACACATCATCAATTACTTACTAAGAAAAAAATAAAAGTAATTACAGTTTTGAAAGCTCAACCATTTTCTACCATAAAGCTTACCCTAATTCTTTCCAATTCCTTTAAATAATCATTATGCATTATAGGTTATTTAGCGCTTGCTAAATACTACAGCACCTTCTGAGGGCAAATTCCTGCCCTTTGCTCCCTGTAAAAGAGGCAGCGTTGAAGCAGAGCAGTGACTGGCAGAAGAAATACCAGTCAACACCAGACCCAAAGGCTTCTACTCTACATACCAACCAAATGCCATGTCATGACCATCTCGACCTTAGTAGATAAGCAATAAATTTATCAACATGACAAAAGTAGGTACTCAATACTTTTGACTAGTTGACTGGCCCTATACAGAAGGGATCTTCTGGCACTGGCACACCTGCTTCTTCCCCATGGCACCAATTATCAAAGACCAGTGATTTTTCTTTCTTTTTTTTTTTTTTTTTTTTTTTTTGGTACCAGGGATCGAACTTGGGTCCTTGTGCTTGCAAGGCAGGCGGCGGAACCACTGAGCTAAATCCCTGGCCCGATTTTTCAAAAAGGTCACCAAGGATATGGTACTGAGGGGCTGAGTCAGGTCTACAATATATACATATATACACAATTCAGTATTCCCCGTATACCAGGCACTGACTGTCTGCTCTCATTTAACTCTTCAGTTTAATTCCTAGAGAGCAGGGATTCTCATACCTTTATTTTTTAAATTTAGATACTAACAGACAGCAAGGAGCAGTGGTATGTCCCTGCGGTCCCAGCTACTCAGCAGGCAGACGCAGGGACTGGCTTGAATCCAACCATTTGAGCCAGGCTGAGCAATTACAGCAAGACGCATAGTCCCTTACTTAAAAAACAAAAAAAAAAAGAGTGGGGCAGGGTGGCACATACCTCTAATCCCATTTGTTCAGGAAACTGAGGCAGGAAGATGACAACTCAAGGACAACCTGGGCAACTTTAGCAAGACTGCTCAAAATAAAAAGGACTGAGGTTATATCTCAGTGTTAGGGTGCTTGCCCAGCATGCACGAGGCCACAGGTTCCATGGTGGGGAGCAATCTAATAGAATGGTTTGGATAGTTTTGAGTGTGTTCACCGCAAGTTCATGTGCAGGAAGCTTGGTCCTCCTCAGTGTGGTGGTATTCAGGAGATGGAACCTTTAAAAGGTGGGGCCTCATGAAAAAAAATCAGGTCATGAGGGAACCCTGAAAAAGGAATAATGATGGTCTCCAGGAGTAGATTCGGGTTGAGGATGTAGATCAGTGGAATGCTTGGCTAGCATGCACAAGGCCCTGGGTTTGATCCCCACCACCGTAAAAAGTTAAAAAAGGAAAGAACAGCTTGTCCCGCCCTATGGTCTCTTGCTTTCTGTCTCACACTGTGATCTCTCCTTCTCGAATGTGCTCCTACCATGATGCATCCGAATTGAGCAACTGTTAGTACCAGGCTCTTGGACCTCCAAAACTAGGTTTATAAATCTCTTAAACATTACCATAGTATCAGGTATTTTGTTATACCAACAGAAAACAGACTAGTACATAATTCTCTGTACAGGCCAGGTGCTAAACATATATGACCTATCCAAACATCCTCAGTGCTCCTATTACAATAGGTTCCAAAAATATTTAATGATGTCACCTTCAAAACTGATCCTAACTACACAGACTTACAAAGGTCTGTGTAGTTAGGCACTAATTTATTAAATAATACACATTTCAAATAAACTAGACCAAAAGGGAAATTATTTCATTATTTTCAGAAACACTTAATAATTACAATAGTTTGTATTTATCAAGTGCTTCCCTTGCTACAAGGCACTGTGCTGTATCCATCAATCAATCCTCACAAATACACAGGGAAGTGGGAACATTTCACCATCTATCTGCGATTATGAAGTGTTATCAGGATACAATCAGGAAATCCAACATGTCACTGACACGGGTCGCACTGGTCTGGGTTCAGGCAATCATTTCTCCAAACAGAAGAAAATGTCTACTGTGCATCTCATAGAATATTTAAGAATTCTGTCATCTAACAGGACTATATCAATGGTAAAAGTATTTTATACACAACTCATAGAATAGCTTTAGTACTATTATTGGTCTCAGTACTCCTTATCTGAAATGCCTGCAAACAGAAGTATTTCAGATTTGGGGCTTTTTCAAATTTTAGAATATTTTACAGACTTTACTGGTGAAGCACCCCGAGCCCAAAATCAAAATTCAAAACTCTCTGAAACCTAAACCTGTAAAATTTAAAAAATATTCTCATTTATGAAAAATAAACTTTTAAAGTTTCAGATTTTTTTTTTAAGTTTCAGATTTTGGAGCATCTGGGATTTTGTATTTTTGGGTTAGAGATGCTCAACATGTTCAGGAATAAAAGCTACCCATCACTGTCAATAAATTACAAGTTCATCTGATTTGCTTTAGTTTCTCCAAATAGTAAATAAAAGTAAAAAATAATTTTTTGCCCAGGATAGCACAGTACAATGGCGGAAAATAATCATGCTTTAGCGTCAAAAGAATTGGGTTCAAATCTTAGCTTATTAAGTGTGTGATGTGATGCAAGTTAAAACAACACTGAGATTCCATCTCACTCCAGAAATGGCTGCTATCAAGAAATCAACCAATAACAAATGCTGGCGGTGCTATGGGGAAAAAGGAACCCTGCTTCACTGTTGGTGGGAGTGCAGACTGGTGCAACCACTGTGGAAATCAGTATGGAGATTCCTCAGAGAACTAAAACTAGAGGTTCCATTTGACCCAGCTATAGTTCTCCTTGGTATCTTTCCAAAAGAATTAAGAGCATCAGGGATGGGGATTTAGCTCAGTGGTTCTGCCGCCTCCCTCGCAAGTGCAAGGTCCTGAGTTCAATCCCTGGTACCAAAAAAAAAAAAAGGTTAGAATTAAGAGCTTCAGACTATAGTGATATATGCACACTTTGTATACCAGCACAGTTTGTAATAGCTAAATCCTGGAAATAGCCTAAATGCCCACCAACCAATGAGTGGATAAAGAAGATGTGAGGTTTTTATACAAGGGAGTACTACTCTGCCATAAAGAAAGATGAGCTTCAGACATTTATGGCTAAATGGATGGACCCTAAGACCATACTCTTTAAGTGAAATAAATCGGACGCACATGTTTAAATACTGCATTGATTCTCTGATGTGAGAAAC